GTTTCCTGCCTCCCCTTTCAATACCTTCAGCTATTTCCTTTCAGATGTTTCCAGGGGCCAGGGCTCGGAGGCAGGAGGAGCAAGCTGGGCTCTCACACTGCAGACAGGTCCTGGGAGAGGAAAGTTGGCTCGAAGCAGGTGCCCGTGGTCCTGCGTGGTGACAGGGAGGACAACCAGGCTGTGGAGGATGTGGCCAGGTCCGAGCAGAAGCTTCGTGACACCGCAGGACCTTCAAGCTGCCTCTCCATGACTTGTAGCGCCTTTGGTGCCATCAAAGGAGGCACAAGGTGAGTGTAATGCAGGGGAAGGCACAGCAGCACTGTCAGGTCAGGTTTAGGGAGAGAGGCTGGAGCAGCCAAGGCTGGAGGCACAGCTCTGCCCTGCTGCAGGGACCCTGGGCTGAGCAGAGCCAGCCTGCTGGACCAGGCACTGCTCTGCAGCAGAAGCTGCTCCAGGGATTTCATGCCCAGCACCACCTGTGCCAGGGATCACACATGAGACTGGTGAACTGTGGCACGTAGAGGGTGGCTGGTGTCCCCTGGAGTCAGAGCACTTGTCCCTTCTCCACTGGCACGTGCCAGCCTGGCTCAGCAGATCTTTCCTTTGTCTCTGAGAGCCCTCGGCTCGTTGCCTCGTGCTCAAGGACTGCGGTTTGCAAAGCGTTTGTGTTTAATTCCCATACAGATGATCCAGAGCACTGTTTCTGGGTGGCAGGCCAGTGGAGTGGCCTTGCCTGCACAGGCAGCAGACCACAGCTCAGCAGGACCACGGGATGCAGAGGAAAGCAGGGTTTGAGTGCGGTCAGCTTCTGGCAGTGGAGAGTGCAGCCAAATGCCAGGGAAAGGGCTCTCCTAACCCCAACCACGCTGTGCTAGATGTGGTTTCCAGAAAAATTGCAGCCCAGGATTTCTCCATGTGGCCTGGGGAGCTCCCTGCCCCAGGAAGGAGATGGAGTTAATGTTGGAAAAGCAGCACAGCAGCCAAATCACCACAGCACCTCCAAACATCTCCCGCAGCCTAGGCCAGCAGGGCAGGCAGAGGAGCAGCCTGGCTGCCACAATGTGCTCCTTGAAGGAGCCATTCCTGCTGGTGTGGTGAGAGCCAGGGAGGTGCCAATCTCTGTGCCAGAAACAGAACTGGACCGGTTATGCAAGTGGCAAAGGCAATCCACAGTGACAGGGACCAGCTCACAATGAGCAGATGCTAATCCAGAGCCTGACACATCCCAGTGAGTCATGAGTCACAGACAGGCTTTTCTTGCCTTTTTTTTTTCCTCTTTTCAAGAAAATCATCAATAATATAGTCAGAAAAGGAAAAACTTCCAGAACAGTCTCCCTTTCCATGGCTAGGAGGGCTGTAGGTGCAGGGACCTCACGCAGGCAGGGCTTGTGTGGCTGAAAGCCAACAGAGTCCCATTCAATAAGAATCAGTGAGTTTTCCTGCAATTGTTAATCAAGTGTGTTGTGGGAGTGATGTAGCGATAGCATCATCAGGCAGTGGCTGTAACTTGCAGCCTCCCTGCCAGATGAAGCTGGAACTGTCACCACTGGAGCTGGAA